GAGATCTGTTTCCGGCAAGATATTGGGATGAGGAACTTCAAATCCAGATGTAGGCCATTTGGGAGGGATGAGAGATGTCAGACAGGGTCCTGAAAATGGGCAGGGAAGAAAAATAACAAAGGAGAACTCAGAAGACGGCAACAAGAAGATGCAGACGGAAGGAGCAAGAAATAAGGTAGGACTTGGAAACTGGGTGTGGGCTCAGGGGAAAATGGAAGGACCAAAGAGGACCAGAGGAAATGATTAAAATTAAGGAGCCATCAATAAAAGATGGCAATGTGGCAGAGGCAAAAATGATACACACTAAACAGGAAAGTTGGAAACGACAGAGGAGAATGGGGTGGGGGGATAAAGTATCAATGAAGCACATTCTTTCACTTACCTGCTTGATTTATAGCATGTTACACCTGTAAACTAAAAACTGTAGCCCTCCTTCCAGTTCTGTAAGGCTTAATGCTACAAAAGACATAACTTATATTACCCTGTCTAACTAAGTGATCAGAGTGGGAGGGAGAAAAGCCGTCACATTATGCTGTGACAGGGCAGCAAGAAATAATAGCAGTCCAACAGGAATTATGTTAACTGGGATGGATATGGGGAGATGATAGTAGTGAATATCACTGATAAAACATTAGAGAGCGTGGTTTATCAATCAGTATTAACTTTTTTTTTTAAAAAAAAAAAGATTTCCACCACTTTGCCATGTCTCTCTCCCCTCTTCCTTTAATTATTAAAATCTATCTCTTTAATAAGAATATTTACTTATTTCAATAGAGGTCAATTCTGTCCCCCATATGACTAGTCTTTATACACAGTCTTAGTGATATATTTCCAAAGCTGTTTCAGCTGCTATTTATGTTTCTGTTTTTTCTTTTTTTTTTCTTTTTTTTCCTTCCACAGCATTTTTTAAGACTTAGCTAATCTTTTGTATTTACTTTTTTTTGTTTGCTTTTAAACTTTACTAAAGATTTTAAATCGTGCCATTCCCATGCAACTCTTTAAGAACTATATTAGCAAATCTGTGTATTATGCTCAAAGTTCACAATCTTAAATATGACATGTATTAGATCTCCCAAAATACTCTCATAGTACTGAATGTTAATGCTCTTGCCCATTACTTGCCAGTTTTAATACCCATAATTGCATTTCTGAAATCTACTGTGCTTAGATTACCATATTACATTATAAAGTGATAGATAAATAACTAGGCCTTCCTTTCTGGTTTCCCTAATACTATCTTTTCGATATGTTCAACCCAATTAGCAAGTAAATCCAGACTAGTTTTACTTTGTTCATTCATCCCATACTTATAGATGGCTAAACTTTCTTGTAAGGAAGTGTGGTGTTTTCCTCCAGTGCTGGAGGAGGTAGGTGCTCCCTGCAGTTGCTTCTTGACTTTTGTTTTATTTATGTTTATCAGGTATTCCAACACTTTAGCGTTTACCCATTCTGCTTCTACTGTGTAGTTTCTACTTCTAAAATTGCACTTATGCTTTTTCATCACGTCACAGCTGAGCATACTTGTGTCACTGTCACTCCTAATTGGTCCTAAATTTCAACGGTCTTCATTTTCCTGCACATCATTTTTCTCCTAATTTTTCCTAAATCTTTTGTTGAAGAACAACTCTAGTCTTTGTGTGTTGCAATATAGGAAGCCATGCAAGGCAATTTATCAATGTCTTGCTTGAGTTACTGTCACTCTGCTCTAATGCATCTGACCCCCTTATCTTCTCAAATAGTTCCTGACTGGATGGAGGATTTATGTTAGGACACACGTTATTCGCTATTCCTCCCTTGTGTCAGTCACACCGTTCTCCAGTTAATTGGGAGTATTTTTGTATGTTCACAGGTGTTGGTGTGTTAAACAATTTATTGTATGCAGTAGGTGGTCATGATGGCCCTTTGGTAAGAAAAAGTGTTGAAGTATATGACCCTGCTGCCAGTACCTGGAAGCAAGTTGCAGATATGAACATGTGCCGAAGGAATGCAGGTGTGTACCACGGCTACATTAAAATCCTGGTAATATAACTGGGTATTACAATATCTAATTTTTCTTAACTGCTCATGCTTCTTTGTGTCACAGAAGAGAGAGCGTGCTTTCATGGTATAGCAGGCAATATATTTTCTGAGTTCATTTCCTATTTTTTAGGTGTTTGTGCTGTAAACGGTCTCTTGTATGTGGTTGGAGGAGATGATGGCTCCTGTAATTTATCAACAGTGGAATATTATAATCCAACAACTGATAAATGGACAGTTGTGTCATCTTGTATGAGTACAGGAAGAAGCTATGCAGGTAAAGTGCATAACTTCTTAAATAGCCTTTCTGCAGTATGTTAAACAGTAGCACGATAGAATGGGATGAGAAATTTGACAAAGCATTCCAGCAAAATACTGGCAAAGTTAAAAACCTTTGAAGATACTGGAATGGTACGAAAAATGTGATGGTTCACTTTGGCTTTAAATAATTTTTCACTGAAAAGGCGGCATTAGACTCTGCTCGTGGCTGATTTAGCAGTTCAGTGGTCAGTGTGAAAGACAATGCTATTATGACTTGCCTTCTTTTTAATCAACAACAGATCTGTATCGTGTCGCAATGTGTGGGAGTCCTGCATTGAACTTTGTTAAAGGGATTCAGTATTTAGAAATGCTAAAATGCTCCAGGGTTCTTTTCCTTTAATAAATGCAGTTACTCACATGAGTTAGTTAAGCGTTACAGTTTTAAAAACCGATGAGAAGACTGCTTAATGATTTATGCCCTTTTTTCCCCCTCACTTTAGGTGTAACAGTTATTGACAAGCCGTTATGATCCATGAAGGGATTTTCAACTTGATTATGCACTAGAAGCAGTCTTCAACAAGTGTATTTGAAGTGACTGAGTATCTAAGCACTTCTCAACTTGTAGCTGCACCTTGAGTCACAGTGGAAGATGTGGCTGTCTACAATTACAGATGACAGATGATGAAGATTACTCTAGGCAGAAGCAATGTGTAGGATTATTCTGCAGTCGAGCAGGAGCTGATTTGAGTTTTTCAAGGCTAGTGGACCGTTTTTCTTTGGATTTATTTTTTAAATTCTTTTTCAATTGCAAGGTCTTCAAACAAAAGAGCCACTTTCATAAGGACCAACTCATGTCAGTCATGACTGAGAAATGGATTGTCAGTGAAGAATGGTGTGTATTCTGGTGAAAGTAAATTTTTGTCTTATTTTTTCCAGAGACTAATAAATATATTTAAAGAAATGAGCTGTCAGTCTTCATAATAGATATTGGATCCCACTTCAGTAATTCAAGCTGGCATGGGGTATATTTGTTTGCTTTTATAAAACTTTTGTTACATAATATGTGCATATGTAAGTGTGTTGCTTTTCATTAAAGATCTTCAAAATCTGATTTTACTATTTATAATTTGGCAGAGTACTTTGAATTTGCCAGTACTATGTTGTAAAACAGAGTTGTATTTTTTGATATTTAACAATGCTTAACACTACTAATTTTCACTGAACGAGCCTGGAAATGGTATAATATTCCTTGAACAGGTGTAATTTCAAGCTTTTTTTTATTTTAATAAAAATGATGTCTGTACTTATGATTTTTTTGCTTCTGTTTGATATTGGTCATATTAAATGTTTTTATCGAAAAGGTGATTTGGCATGAAAATAACTGAAAAATTATAATGAATGTATTGAAGTTGAACTTGCATGGTATTAAGGTCTACTTATGTGTATAAACTTGGCTGCTATTAGCTAATACCTGAATATACTGTATGTGGCCATGTTTGTAGAGCAGCTCATTTTTATTTCTTCTTAGATGGCCTTCTTTTTACATGACCAAAGTTATTGTCATATTGGAGACTTTCTTTAAATAAAAGTTTATATATTGTTTCATAATGCCAACAAAATTGCTTAAAACTTGTGTTTCTCAATACAAGTCTCACAAGTAATTTGAGAATAGTGCTTTTTTTTGGGAAGAGAATGTTTAAAAGAGCTGAATGCAAGTGAGTTGAAGAGAATTATGATTAAAGGCTAGGAAGTGGCAATATAAATACCACTAGTTTGCTGCTGGCTTGTCTCTGAAAGCTTTGGTCTTCAGTTAAGTAAGATAGTGGCCATGTCTAATTTCTTGTGGGAGGAAAAAAAAAAAAAAGTATGAGCTGTGAAATTAATATGAGAGCTGAGAACTCAGTTGCTGGTAGAAATGCTAATATTGGAAGAATATAAAGAAGAATAAGAAAGGCCGCGTTGGCGCAGGGCCCGTTCCTGCCCGGGCCGGGGGCGACAGCGGCCCCCGCGCCCGCCCAACGGGCGCTAACGGTCCCGCGGCGCCATGGCAACGGGCGGCGCCACGGCCACGGGCGGGGGGCGGCCCGCCCCCCGC